TAATTAAGTTCTTAGATAGTCGAGTGCTTCGGTCTACGTAAAATCTCCAACAGTATGTTTCGGAGATGCATTTCAAATTAGGGTTGTAAAATTTGTTTGCATTTTTTTTTATTCTTTTCAACGTGTACAACGGGTTTGATAGTCCACATTATTAACAATCCCTTCCCCCCTAGCAGGCAGGTAGGCAATCTCAGTTAGGTTTTGGTAATGATTTAAGAGTTGTTGCCCATAAATCTCGTCCATAAAATTTCTCTTAGTCCCCACTCACATTCAATGTCACATATTTAAATTAACCCTGTTCGCCGCACTATATTAAATTTCTAGCTTTGACTTCCACGAGACAGGCTTTGCGTAGTGTGGGCTCATAGTTATATTGTACTACAGGCTAATTTTGTTTAAGGAAATAATGTTATTATTATTATTACTTACGACACCCACAGGAAAGGAAGAGGTGGCCCATTCTATGCTGGCACCAAACGGCACACGTAGTGCAAAAATCACTTTTTGTAATTTATCACCAGTGGCAAACGTCCAAGTTTTTATTCTGTGCATGTTTTTATCTTGTTATATTACTAATTAATATGTTACTCGACATTATTTGCCAAATGTGAACTGATTTGTGGCCGTGTGATCTCAAAATAGAATTGATCAACCCTTCCTTTCCCGTGGGTGTCGTAAGAGGTTTTGTGTTTCACAAAAAATCCCTATTTCAATTGTGATAAATCCAGTTATTTTTATTTTAAAACGAAACTACTCAACTGTTTCTATTAATTTTTCTCTGCTACCAATCTGTAAGTATACATCCTTTCCGATAAAAGAAAAGATATTCCGAATTTGTGTACAACTAGCGGCGCGTCACACACTGACCGCGCACCGCCACCGTTGCCGCACATTTTTTCTGCCCAAAAGTCAAACAATCTAGTGCATACATTCCCCAACCTGTAGAGTCTAAATATATTTACAAAATAAATAGATACTCTTTATTGTTTCCTCCATAAGATTGCAATAGTAAGCTTATTATAGATACAAACAATTACAAGAAAATATTACACTGAGAAAACAATTGATATTAATGCCTTAACAGCTTAATCATCTGATATGATGATAGTCATACCAGCCTTAACTGTCCACTGCTGGACATAAGCCTCCCCCTTGGGGGCGTTTGCCAGTAGTTGCCACACTTAACAGGCGGATTGGCAACCGCAGTTAGACTTTAGAGATGTTTTAAAAAGGACGCTGCTGCCCATCTATCGCCCTCTATTAGCGCCTCTTATGACGCCTAGGGGAAAAGGATTTTTTTTAAAAGGTGATAATGGTATCGTAACCTCGTCTGCGCTATCGGTATACACTGGCGGGGCACCAGTAATAGATGTCTAATGAGGATGAAAACAGGTCAGTTAGCCTATCCTGACGAATTCAACTAGAATTAGCCACGATGGTTTCCAGAGAGAAACACGTGGAGGTCGACCTGTCAGGGTATATTACTAGTAATGGGACTATTTGACCCCATTACACATAGTCTCACGTTCTTCATCATCTTCCTATCCTTATCCCAATTATTATTTGGGGTCGGCGTAATATGGTTTTATTAATATTACTAAAGGATTTGGCTTATAATTATACGACTGGCCGCCTGCCTGACGTCAACCCTCTTTAGGAATGCATTTGTTGGTGGTTTCCGCCACCGACAGTTTGGAGGAAAGGATTGAGGGAAAAAGGAAGAGAATGTTGGAAATGGGTAAAGGAAATTAGTAAATGAGAGGAATAAGGGACTTATGTAGGGAAAGGAGAGGAGGGATTGCAGTTGCGGAAAGGACTGGGACACTGCAGCGGCTCGGGAGGCCAGGCTCGCATACCCGTATTCCCTTATTCTAGAATCAGACAGATTTTTAAAGAGGAACATCCCTGACGCAGTCCCAGGTTATCGTTATTAAATATGCTATGCAAGCGTAATTAAAGGAATTAGAAATGAGAAGGCACCGTAGGCTATGGGGCAAGTTGGGGTAGCACTGGGGTAACACATAATGAACGTTTTACAGCTCCCTCGCCTCATACATGTAACGTAAACATTATTCTTGCCTACTGCGTACTTTGTAATTGGAAATTTTACGAAATATATGTTAACAGATATCAATTACAGTTCGGTGGGCTCATAGTTATATTGTACTACAGGCTATATTTGTTTAAGGAAATAATGTTATTATTATTATTACTTACGACACCCACAGGAAAGGAAGAGGTGGCCCATTCTATGCTGGCACCAAACGGCACACGTAGTGCAAAAATCACTTTTTGTAATTTATCACCAGTGATAAATCACAAAAAGTGATTTTTCTACACAATGACCGCTACTTAGTGCTATTGAGAGTGAAATATGAATTATGGTTTACAGGGCGAGTGAATTGGCACTTTAGTGCAACGTGATAAAGTCCAAATATAAATTTAATAATTTTTTTTATAGGCAATGACACTGTGATAATCAGATGTACTAATTAAAGTAATTCATGACGTAATTAATACTATGTTGCGACTGTAATTGGAATTAAAGTGATAAGGAATTGTTTTGATTGATCGTTAAAATTTTAATTAATAAATAATTAAATTTTTATTTATTCGCTAATTTTTAGTTTCCACTAACAATATGTGTCAATGCAAATCAATGAAATTTATATTTCAAAATAAAACTTTGCTACAGGAGTCCAACAGCACCGGAAATGGAACCTCTGCCTTTGAAATGGCCAACAGAGAGCGTCACTTTCTACATACAGTCGGAACACAATATTGTACCGATGTGATGTACGGATACTTTGAAATATTCAAGTGAATCGTACGTTACATACAGGACAGCATTTAAAATGGTAAACGTTAGAAGATTTTTGGTAAATATATTTTACACTTTATTGCACCAAGTAAAGGAAATAATAAATATAATAAAAATAATAAATATAGTAAATACTAATGAGAAATGATACAAAAGGCAGTCTTATCGTTAAGCAATCTCTTCCAGATAACCTTTGGCTAGGAGATATTGAGAAAAGAAATAAAGATAAAGGGTGACGCACTAATATGTATAAATTAATATATATACATAAACATACACAAACTTAAAAGCACACATACAACGGGAGACAATGAAACTGAAAAATAAAAAGTGATCACGTTTACACTTTATTGAATCAAGTAAAGAAAATAATAAATACAGTAAACATAAGCAATCTAGGGGGAAAGGGATTGTTAGTAATGGAGATTGAGAATCCCATTGCTAGCAATATACCCAGCCAGGTCGACCTCCTCGCGGTTCCCCCTGGAAACTATCATGGTTAATTTCTGATGAATTCATCATGATGGGCTAACTGGCCTGTTTTCATTCTCATCTATCGCCCTTCACTGGTGCTCCGCCAGCGTATCCCGTTAGCGCAGGCGGGGTTACCATACCATTTTCACCCATCAAAACAAAAAAAAAAACATAAGCAATCTCTTCCAGACAACCTTTGGGTAGAGTACATACATAATTAAAGTTATGTTATGTCTTTATTCTTGTGACTTGTGTGTATTTTTCATTATTTTGCGTTAACAGTGACTTTACTTATATAACCGTGACGAATAGTAGCACATATGTTTGTTTTTAAGTCAAATAATAATACTTGAAGGTTATTTAAAATCATAATATCAAATAAGAGGAAAGATTTAATGTTTTTGTATTTTATTTTTTAATTTTGACAAAAATTCACATCTCCCCTCTTAAGGAGAGGAGATGGCAACTAACCCCCGCAGAAGCACAGTCGGCCGGGGTTTAGGGCCCCAGGGAGAGAAACCGGCGTACAATGCGGGCAGAATCTAAAAGCGCTTAGTGCATCTTTCCTGGGAGTGAACCGCCTCGGGATCCCAACCGTCTGAGATGTTGTTCCAGACTAGTTGGGATAAGAGCGTTCACCGTATTTTATTTGTTATTATGTCAGCCGTAAACTGCCCACTGCTGGACATGGGGCTCCCTTTATTGGGGAGTTTAGGCAGTAGCTGCCACGCTTGGTAGGCGGGTTTTTAGTGGATTTGCCCATAATTAGCAACACACCCTATCAGGTCGACCTTCACGCGGTTCCCCTTAGAAACTATCATTATATATTCTTGTAGAATTCTTTACGATGGGCTAACTGACCTGCTTCATCCTCACCTATCATCCTTCACTGGTGCCCCGCCAGTATATACTATTAGCGCAGGCGGGGTTATCATTTCATTATCATCTTTAAAAACAAAAAGTTCTGACAGCGTATATCGCTAGCAATTGGACTAGTAGTACGCATAACAATTCCTTCACCCTAAATGTTAGTATTAATATTTATGTTTGTATTTATATTTATTTTTATTTAGCCACCCGTCATACACAAGCATAACCTTTCATACAAACACACACTGCACCTACTTGGTCACGTACCCGTAAGTGTAGTATGTTTTATCAGAACACGAAACTCGTTTTTTTTTTTAATTTTTTAAACAAACTACAAAACGACTTTACTCCAACCTCGATAACTCAGCTGTTTCTGGTCCGATCGACTTAAAATTTCGACACGTTTCAAGCACTCTAGAAAAACCTGGTTACTGGTTAACGAGCGCCATCTCTGGGTTAGTCTCGGGACTTATTGATCCATGTGTTAATTACCAGAGCTAAAAGAAATTTAAAACACAAGTATAATAATAATAACATTTTCTTTATTATAGATTACAAAGATCCATTTTTGTTAGTACCAATTGACTTAAACTATGTTAGTAGGAAAAAAAAAAATACAAAAATCATTTTATGGCCACTATAATAATTTTGACCCACAATGAGAGGATCGGACTATCGTATTTATTACACAATGCCCACAGAATGCTATAATATCAAATTGTATGCGTAATAAATGCCATGCTGATTATTAAATAGTAATGACCTTAAAGAGGTGTGACCAGACGGGTTATAGTGATTGATAACATATCTTTGAGTACCTACAATGTATCACTGTTATAATATATCGAACATTTTGCTAGTGGCGTTCAAAGAGTAGGTACAAACATAATGTTGCGATAGTGTCAAATTTTTCGTATAAATATTTTTGTTAAGAATTCCTTACTATTTCTGTGATATATAATTAACATAATGGAATGTTTTTTTTTTAATTAAAACCGGTACGTAGTTTATTTTTATATATTTTACTAGCGACCCGCCCCGGCTTCGCGCGAGTTACACATTACATCACGTCACATTAGAAACCTCTAAATTTATCAGTGTTTCTCTACAATATTATGCATGCATTATACATATAAACCTTCCTCTTGAATCACTTTAATTTACTGGGTACAGAGGAATAACACCTGAGTCCTCAGGAATGGCAACGCATGGGGGTTATCATGGGCGAAACAGTATACTCTGTTATGTCCATGGTACTGCTCATGTCTATAGGCGACGGTTACCACTTTCCATCAGGTGGGCCGTCAGCTTGTTTGCCATTATAAGTTGCATAAAAAAAAGTAAGGATTGTTTATTCTCATAAGTTACGAGACATCTTGCCTAATTCGAATCCTATTTTGATAATACTTTCAATAGAGTATACTATTGTTTTAAACTTGCATTACTTGACAATTTTTTTTACAACTAGCGGCCCGTTCAACGTCATACGGGTGGACATTTTCACATTTAAAAAAGTGGGCATTAAGTCTGCACACGCGACGGAAGCTTAAAAATGGAGTAACATCTTCCGTTTTCCCAACATTTCCCTTCACTGCTCTGCTCCTATTGATCGTAGCGTGATGAAAAGTATACTATAACCTGCCCAGGAGTATGAAGAATAATTGTACCAAGTTTCGTTAAAATCCGTCGAGTAGTTTTTGTTTCTTTAACGAACATACAGAGAGACAGACAGACAAAAATTTTACTAATTACATTTCTGGCATCAGTATCGATCACTAATCACCCGCTGATAGTTATCTTAGAAACATATTCCATGTACAGAATTGACCTCTCTACAGATTTATTATAAGTATAGAAGATTGGTGCGTTTTCAACAGAACTTGTTACTTTTTGAGTTTGTTGTTTTTGAGTGTCTATTCTGTTTAATTATTTTATTTCATTCATCATCATCATCATCATATATATTGAAAAATATTTTTTTCCTTTCCCATGACTATCGTAGCCGACTAAGCGAGGGCGAGGGATGGGCAGCAGTATTCCTCTAAAAACATAATGAAAGTCTAACTGCGGTTACTAATCCACCTGCCAGGGGGAAAAGGAATTGTTAGCAATGGAGTTTGACAGCCCCATTGCTAGCAATATGCCTTATCAGGTCGACCTCCAGGTGGTTCCCCCTGGAAACCATCGTGAACAATTCTTGTTGAATTCATCACGATGGGCTAACTGACCTACTTCATCCTCATCTATCATCCTTCACTGGTGTCCCACCGGTGTATACCGATAGCGCGGGTGGGGTTACCATTCCATTATCATCCATTAAAAATAATCCATCTGCCAAGCGTGTTAATTTTTTAATTTTTATTTATACTATAAATTTTTTATATAATTATTATAGCTTTTTTTTATACAACTTAGAATGGCAAACAAGCTGACGGCCCACCTAATGGAAAGTGGTAACCGTCGCCTATAGACATGAGCAGTACCGTGGACATAACAGAGTATACTGTTTCGCCCATGATACCTCCCATGCGTTGCCATTCCTGAGGACTCTTTGAGGATTCTGAGGAGCTATGTTCAGCAATGGGCAGTTAACGGCTGGTACAATAGAATAAAAGATTACAATATTTAACAATCGCTTGGTAATTCCGGTTTGGGTCAAGTGAACACAGAAACTGCTTCGAAGTCAGGCGGTCAGAATGGATGAATGAATGAATGAGTATACTTTATTTGCATTATACAATATAGGAAATAAGCAAGACAATTTACAAGCACAACGATACAATTGTATAAGTACAGTAAGGCGGTCTTATTGCTGAGAGCAATCTTTTCAAGACGACCTTAGGGTGATGGACTAATTGTTGTACAAGTAGGTATGATAGTGCTTTATAATTAAAAAAAGCATCTTTTGCAAATTAAAAATATATAAAAATTATATACATATATACACACACATATATACATACATATACATATATATACATACACATACATATATACACAATCAATGGTAAATAGTAATAGTGTACGTCAGACTATTAAGGTGATGGAAAAATATTAGAATTAGCATATTTATTTTTAAAATCACACGTGTTTGTACCTATATGTACTTATTTGTATATTTCATTAGCAACACCGTTATATAAGTGCTTAATTAATGAATTAACGACACAAACAAGTATCCTTTGAAAGTAAATTTACAATTTAGTGCCGATATATTTTTATCAGAGGGTGACTTTGTACAAAAGTCGTTTGCTTGGGCACCTCTGTCCCATTCGTGTTTCAACCGTGAAGCAGTTGTGTTCGCATGGCTGTGTTTCGGTTTTGAAGAGTGGAATATGGTAATGAATTTACAGGGTACAGAAGAACATCTGAGTCCTCATGAATGGCAACGCATGGTGGGTATCATGGGCGAAATAGCATACTCTGTTATGTACATAATATTGCTCATGTCTATAGGCGACGGTTACCACTTTCCATTAGGTTTGCCATTCTAAGTTGTATAAAAAAAAGTAATTTTACAATTTAGTGTCAATATATTTTTATAGTGTGGACGTCGACCTGGTTGGGTATATTGCTAGCAATGGGATTCTCATTCTTCATCACTAACAATCCCTTACCCCCCTATCCTTCTCAGGTGTATGAAATCGTCACCGAGTATCTACATGACATGTAGATGACCACACATGCTAGATATCGTCAGTGGTCACTGCTTGAGATGGTACATGTGAAGTGGGTGGTGCTGTGGTCGCTGTGGGCAGCGCGGGTGGTGCGGCAACCAACAGCGACGGTGCGCGTCTCTGGAGGGTTGTTGCGTGGTTCCATCGCACCAGCGGGCACGCATACTGAATATTATGGTGTACCATATTCTATTATCGGTCCTGAACATAGATTTAAGGTAGTTTATCTCTATTTTTTAAGTAATTTAGAACGTCAAACCAGCTGACGGTCCACCAGATGGAAAGCGGTAACCGTCACCTATAGACATGGATAGCAACGTGGATCTAATACAATATACTGTGACGTTATCACTCATGTGTTTCCAGTCTTCGGGAATAAGGTATAGAAAGAAAGAAAGAGGAAAAAAAATAGCTTTATTAAGCGGTATAATGTCTATGTACCCAATAATTTTTGTGTTTCTACCTTAAAGATTTGATTTAAGGCATATACACAAAATGACAACCTAAGTACATAAAATAAATATACAAGATACATAAAATGATTGATCTTTGCACGTGATAATCCTTATAAACAATATAAACATACTAATTTGAAAAGATGTTGAAATGTTTGTACTAATTCATGTTTAAAAGACTAAATGGATTTGCATGAAATTTAGTATTTTGGGTGAACTATATCAAAAATTCTCCGTGTGGTCCCGGCATGGAATAGGCCACCCCCGTGGATGTTGTAAGAGGTGACTAAGGGAGGGCAAGGGATGGGCTGCAGCGTCCCTTTTCAATTTCTCCAAATTGTAACTGCTGTTGCCAATCCGCCTGCAAAGCGTGGCAACTACTGGCAAAACATCACCAAAGGAGAGGCTTATGTTCAGCAGTGGACAGTTAAAGGCTGGTATGATCACGATGACGATACGTAAAATAAATATAAGTGTATGTATAAAGAACCTTCTTCGTTTGGATGTCATTTAAAAGTTATAAAAAATATTATAAATAATCTAAGATATGTAACAACGGATAAATGTGAATGTTCCCATATGCGAAACGTGACCAAAAAGTTCTCGTATTCTGTGTAGATAATATCTTCCATCGTATCAGCTTCGTGCAGGCGTAGCTCTGCTTTGCTCTTCTATGTAATATAATTTCCCATTTAAAGAGTTTGTTCCACAACAACGAGTTTAATATTAAAGAATTTTCTATGGGAATAACACGGGAGGGAACCTTATCGGTTGCAAGAAGAATAAAATTAATAATTTATATAATAAAATTGTAATTAGGCGATGTCTATACATTTTTTTTTTATGCAACTTAGAATGGCAAACAAGCTGACACCTGATAGAAAGTGGAAACCCTCGCCTAAAGATGGTGGAATGCAATCCATATTTATGATACGTAGTTAGTGTTAATGTTTAAACGATCCTAATTTCTTTTTACATTTTAGGCACCAGGACCAGAGACAAAGTGGCAGGGAGTTTATGAGGCCATCAATGAGAACATAAAATGTCAACAAAACGCCTACATAGGAGCACCTTTCATAATCGGAAAAGAAAACTGTTTGATTTTAAATGTATATACACCGTTAAATACTAATTCTAATAGTTTATTACCTGTGATGGTGTTCATTCATGGGGGAGGGTTTTTCGAAGGATCTTCCGGTCCGTTTTTGTATGGCCCACAATATATTGTTAGCAAGGGAGTTATATTAGTGACTATTAATTATCGCCTTAATATCCAAGGCAATTTGTGCTTACGAATAAAAGAAGCTCCCGGTAATCCAGGAATGAAGGATCAAGTAGCAGCTTTGAAATGGGTCCAGAGAAATATTAAAGTGTTCGGAGGGGATCCAGACAACGTTACGTTGTTCGGTGAAAGTGCTGGCGCAGCGTCCGTTTCCTACCATGTACTTTCTCCGATGTCAAAAGGTTTATTTCACAAAGCGATATTACAAAGTGGATCTTCACTTAGTGCTTGGGCTTACCAATATAGGCCAGTGTACATGGCCAGTTTATTGGCCAAAACAATGGGATATATAACGCAAGATCCTTACAAGCTTTATGAAATATTTTCAAACAAATCTGACGCTGAATTGATTGTCACAAGGGTGCCAAGAAAAGAAGGCAATCAAATCATATCAGAGATACTGTACACACCGTGTGTCGAAGATGTTTTAGAAGGAGTGGAGCCATTTTTAACAGAACTGCCGTATGATGCTTTAAAACATGGTAGATATAATAAAGTTCCCATGATAATAGGTGCGAATAATGAAGAAGGATATCTATTTATGGGAATGGAAAACGATACGTCCATTAACAAAGTAACAATTGAGAGATCTTTGCCAAAAGATATGGTGATACTTAATGAAAGAGAGCGGAAGGACGTGGCTGAGAAACTTAGAAAAATGTATATGGGTGACGATGTTGTATCGAGAGAAACAGAAATAAAGCTCTCAAGGTTTACTGGTGAGGTGTATATAAATTACCCGTCGTTAGAAGAAACTAATTTAATAGCAAATACTAGTGATAAGCCAGTGTATAGTTATTTATTCAGTTACGGCGGTTGGAGGAACATCGCCAAGTTATTTTCAGGGAAGAACATATCTAAGGCACCTGGGGCTGCTCACGCTGACGATTTATTTTATTTATTCAGTCAAACGTTGATATCATCATTGTTTGAAACTGAAATGATCAATAAAATGACATCGTTGTGGACAAATTTTGCAAAATATGGGTGAGTAACTTTTGGTCAATGTATACTACAGTTTGTTTCAATAGAACTTAAAGGGGAGGGGGAAGGGATTGTTAGCAATGGAGTTTGACAGCCCCATTGCTAGCAATATGCCTTATTAGGTTGACCTCCACGTGGTTCCCCCTGGAAACCATCGTGAACAATTCTTGTTGAATTCGTCACGACGGGCTAACTGACCTACTTCATCCTCATCTATCATCCTTCACTGGTGCCCCGCCGGTGTAAACCGATAGCGCGGGTGGGCTTACCATTCTATTATCATCCATTAAAAAAAAATTGAACTTAAAGAAAATATAAACAAATAATTAATTGTATTAATAAAAAAAATCGATCAATTGAGTAAATATTTCTCTTTGTTAGTAACATAATTTAGAGAGTGTTCCTGTGATAATTTCAACAAAACTTACTTACCTTTTCATTAAGTTATATTGAAACAAATTATATTTATAAATATCATTTCATCATCGTCACCATTTCAGCCATTATCCATCCACTGCTGGACATAAGCCTCCTCCATAGACTGCAATAAAGAACGGTCCTGAGCCACCTGCGTCCACTCCTTCTCTGCAATGCATTTGTGGTCATTATTCCATTTAGGGGGGGGGGGCGTGTCCTACACTGCGTTTGCCCGTACGGGATCACCACTCAAGAACCATTTTTCTCCATCGTTTGTCGGTTTTTCGAGCTGTGTGACCAGCCTATTGCCACTACAGTTTGGCTAATATATCAATATTATATATGACAATTTGTAACGATGAGTAATAGTCAATAACGTCTAAACGATCGAAAGTTTTGGGGCAAAATCAGTTATTTTGGTTAAAAAATTAAACTACTGATCTGATTTTGATAAAATTTCTATAGAAACAATCTGTAAATATATGCTTTTAGATAAAAAATAATTTTCCAAACCGGTTTACAACTGACGGAGTTATGAAGTAGAAAAATATAACCGATCGAAGAATTTCCTTAATTTTGTTAAAGTTGGTTTTTAACAAATTTTTAGTCGATTTTAAAAACTCTTTCGACTATATAAAACTATTATTATCAATAAGGATTTAATATTTTATTAAAAGAAAAAAAAAAAACAGTGAGAAGTCGAGACGTGTCGCTAGTGTTAAATAAATATATATTATTTTTCATACAAATGAAAACGCTATTTTTCGCTGAGCAAAATCAACTTTTTTTTGTAAGACATTGATTTGACATTATTATTAAAAGAATGTTTATCGTACATAACCTTTAATTATTGGGTAATTAAATAATTATTTACAAATTATAAGAATGACCTTTAGCTTTAATGTTTGGACTGCAACAGTAATTTTATTGATAAAGTTCGTACTGTAATTGTCGCTAAATACTCTTTAGACATGACTATTTGATTACAAACTTGTGTAAATAGTTTTTAAACAAATAAAAAAAAAGGGAACATTTTTCCATTCGAAGGGAACATTCGTCTATGATTAATTTGTGTATACCGTGAAGCAGTTGTGTTTGCATGGCTGTGTTTAGGTTTGAAGGGTGGGATATGGCGTGAATTTACAGGGTACAGAGGAATAACACCTGAGTCCTCAGGAATGGCAATGTATAGGGGGTATCATGGGCGAAACATTATACTCTGTTATGTCCACGGCACTGCTCATGTCTATAGGCGACGGTTACCACTTTCCATCAGGTGGGCTGTCAGCTTGTTTGCCATTCTAAGTTGTATAGAAAAAAAATACAAAAATCTTTCCTTCTTATTAATATCAGTGTAATAATAGTAGGTAAAGGTAAGTATATTTCTTTACTTATATACTTTGTTGTTAACAGGAATCCAACGCCGCCCGGGTTGGACACCCTGCCAGTGAGATGGCCACCCGTGGACACTGCGGCCCCCGTCACATTGAACATTGACTCTGAGTTTAGTATTATACCAATGTGGTACAGGGATAGTCTTAAAATCTTGAAAGAATTGTACACAATGTATAGAAGAAGAGAGTAGAAAAATTTAAATATGTATTTAAAAATAATATTATTTAATTCACTGTTTTTGGGTTGTGACTTCTTGATGAAACCTCATTATATTGATTATAAATTATTGTATTTTACATTTTAAATAATATTATAATATTAGTTAATAACAGGCATGCGTGTGTGCGTGCGTGCGTGTGTGCGTGCGTGTGTGCGTGCGTGCGTGCGTGTGTGCGTGCGTGCGTGCGTGTGTGTGTGTGTGCGTGCGTGTGTGCGTGTGTGTGTGTGTGTATGTGCGTGCGTGTGTGTGTGTGTGTGTTTGTGTAGTGACGAGTACCTACAGGATATTTTGATATAATGTCAGGCGTAGCAACCTGCGGAGGGAGACCCTCCGCAGTTTGCTACGCCTCATAAGATGCATGTTATATACTATATTGCAAATTTCATAATGTGCAATGCTATTGTAGTCATAGATAAAAAGTGTGTGTGTGGGGGGGGGGGGAAACATTATTAGTTATGCAGACTGCCAATCTCGTTGCATTTTATATTCATGTTATATTAATTTATATTTTTTTTTCATATCATATTATATTAATTATTTAATATTTTATTATTTTATTACATAATATTTTTTTTAATATTTTATAAAGGAATTAATATAATAATTAATTATATTATTATTTATTTATATAATTATTATATTAATTAATTATATTAATTATTATATTAATTCCTCTGTACCCAGTAAATTCACGCCATATCCCACCTTTCAAACCGAAACACAGCCATGCAAACACAACTGCTTCACGGTTGAAACATGAATGGGACAGAGGTACCCAAGCAATCGACTTTTGTACAAAGTCTACCTCTGGTATACCTGCAATACCAGAGGTATTACGCGCGCGTTGCCGACCCTGAAGAAACCTCTTTACCCCCCTTTTGAAGAACCCCATGCTGTAGTCTCTTGGGAAAACCTCAGCAGGGAGCTTTCTCTACCAGTCATTCTTATCTTCTCATTCACTTATCACCTCTTTTATTTTGCTATTATCATTTATATATTTAATTTTATATATCTCTATATAGTTTACAAATGTCTAAACTGTCAAAACAATCACCCAAATGTCTCCAAGCCCATTTAATTTGTTTTCCTTAACAGTTTCATTATTTCGAAATTTCTCGAAGCAAAACTTTTTTACCCTAAACATTGCGAAAAAATACCACCCACTCTGGCAACTCTGAATGCGAGTTACAACAGTAAGGTGTAAGGTGGTATTGATACCATTCTATTCAGTTTGCAACTAAATTTCCGGTCGGCCAATGTAAGCCGCTTACGTCGCTGCCTCTAGACCCCGTCGTCAATGAGGACCGAATGAATGAACGAGTGAGTGGAACTATACGCTTTAATCCGTCCTTTTGGTGGATGAACGGTTTTAAGGTAAGCCCCTGGTAAATAGAGAATTTGACCGGGTTTTGACGAGCGCCACCGGGCTCGGCGAAGTTATGATTTTACTATGTAGCTTGTTTGAAATACACTATCGGAAATTACTGTTATGGGATCAGTAAAGCAAAGGAATGGCTAATATAAAATTGTAAGCATTACTATAATTAGATCCTTTAATACCAGAGGGAGACTTTGTACAAAAGTCGATTGCTTGGGCACCTCTGTTCCATTCGTGTTTCAACCGTGAAGCAGTTGTTTGTATAGCTGTGTTTCGGTTTGAAGGGTGAGATATGGTGTGAATTTACAGGGTACAGAGGAATAACACCTGAGTCCTCAGGAATGGCAACGCATGGGGGGTATCATGGGCGAAATAGTATACTCTGTTGTGTCCATGATACTGCTCATGTCTATAGGCGACGGTTACTACTTTCCATCAGGTGGGCCATCAGCTTGTTTGCCATTCTAAGTTGTATAAAAAAAAAGAAATATTTTTCCCAAAGAGGGTTGACGTCAGGCAGGCGGCCGGTCGTAGAACTAAAAGCGAAATCTTTTTGTAATATGGATAAAACTATATTACGCTGACCACAAATAATAATTGGGATAAGGGTAGGAAGGTGATGATGAATGAAATATTTTATGTATATTTTATTTATTTATTTAAACTTTAATGCACAGTAAAATTCTATGTACATTTGGCGGACTTAATACCGGACGGTGTTCTCTACCAGTCAACCATTGGGCGAACAGAGAAATACGTAGGTGGTGCATTTTTGAATAGAGAAAAAAAAGTCGTATAGAAAAACCAAAAAATTGAATTAAAAAATGTTTATATAAAAATATAAAAGTGAGGGACTCAAACAGAAGGCATTAGGAAGATCTTTATACTCGAGCGAAGGCGGGGCGTGCAGCTAGTGGTGTATTTACGAGTATATTTAAAATCAATTAATACATATTTTTTATTATTTTATCCATTGCAGAGTTTAATTTATACACTGTAATTTTAATAAAAATATATATATATATCTTATATATAAAATACTCGTGTCGCGGTGTTTGTTACCAAACTCCTCCGAAACGGCTTTACCGATTTTTTTGAAATTTTGTGTGCATATTGGGTAGGTCTAAGAATCGGCCAACATCTATTTTTCATACCCGTCCATGATAAGGGTGACCCTCCCCAAAATATATTTTTTTTTATTTTTTTGACAAATTTTTCATTTTTATTTTATTATGATTAAGCATTGAAAAATACATACAACTTTAAATTTTCATCGTTTTACGATCAACCCCTGTATTTTAATTGTGATTTTTATATTTCGCAATAAGTGGTAAAACGTTTACGGGGTCAGCTAGTATATATATATATATATATATATATATATATATATATATATATATATATATATATATATATATATATATATATATATATATATATACCACGACCATTTGCTAATTTCGCCTGTGTAAAGTAAACATAGATAATGAAAATAATTTTTTTGCATAGCAATATTCAGGCCATTTTGTAAAAAGCCCAAAGTGGGATCAGCGAAAATGTTATTGTATTAAGTACTGCATAATATATGCAGGGGGTTTTGCATTAAGCCTTTTTAATTGGGCCTATAATTTAAAGGACCCTTCGCTGCGAATTAGCCAGAACAAATAGCTTTCCCTTCTGTACAAATATTCGCATCAGCATATTGAATTTATAGGAAAATTATATTTTTATTATATTCAGTACTAGCTTTCGCTCTCATGTTTTTTGCCTATATATATATATATATATATATATTATATCGTCATAATTCGTGGCTCAGAGCCATTCCTTATGGGTCTACTTATTCTCGTCATTCCATCTAATGGGGAGTCGTTCTACACTGCGTTTGCCCATACGAGAACGTTCTTATACATTTGCCACTCAAGGTCCTTTATAAAATTTAAAAATCTTTTATGTATATACATAAAAGATTTTTATATTTATGTATATACATATATTTTTTTAGTTGATGACAATGGAATGTTAAACCCCGTCTGCGCTAACAGTATACACAGCGAAGGATGATTGATGAGGATGAAAAGACAGGTCAGTTAGCTCATCGTGATAAATACACTTTGGATTCAGCACGAAAGTTTCCAGGAAAGGAGCACGTGGGAGTTGACCTGATTATATATAGGTATATTGCTAACAAAGGGACCTATTCTTCATTACTAACACTTCCTTCCCCCTCTACATAAAAGGTTCTTAACTAGTAACTATTTGTCAAACTAGTAAATATTCGTCTATTATAAACCTCAATTACAATATAGATACATCACTATGTCAGCAAAACCCTAATATCAGCAAAGTCCTCATATATCGACATTCAATAACAGTAACTACACGTGCACCCTTCCGCTTTGCTGATGATGTTACATTAACTAAACACAGCAGGATATGTTCTGGCCACTACACAGGGTTCGGGGTTGGTCCGAACTAGTGAGACGCTGAGTTAGCCTGATTCGAGTATACCATATACTCGAATATCTAGTACTCGAATACTAATAATGAGTAAGAATAATAAGTAATGTGCGTAATTCGGATATGCAATACTCGAATATAAGATTCGAACATTTGTGTTACTCGAACACTAGTCATGAATCAAAACATTCTTTTTTTGTTTAGTTTTTTTTTTGTTTATCCATAATACACAAATGACTTGATATGATACTTGTATCTTGAACACAATACTGAACAAACGTATTTTATATTTAGCCGTTTTTATAATAGCAAATTACACAAGAAGCCATCTTTCATTAATTTTATCATTAATTACCAAATATATAAATTATTAATATACTCAATATTTATTATTTTCATTAAAAGTAAATTTCAAAAATCTACTGACAAATTATTTACGATTGATGAATACAAGTCCTAGAGTTCGAGTACTCAGATTCCAGTCTGTATTTGATAATTTTTTTTATCATATTAATATTACAAATGCGAAATTTTGTAACAAAATAATATATAGTTACTTTTTTACGTAAAAACTCCTTAACGGATTTGAACGAAATTTGGTACGCGGGTTAGTTATATCCTATATAAGTACATAGGATATTTTATATATTGATTCATACAGGTGAAGCAGAGTAATAATAAATTACTCGAACAACTCGAAAAAACTAAAATACTCGAATACCGAAAAAGACCATTTCGGCACATCACTAGTCCAAACTCCGCCGTGGACTGTCCGCCCGCGGCTAAACCAAAGGGCCGGATATTGTTCAACTCAAATTGGAGTCCATCTTATTCAAACATTTCGTAGGCAAATTAAGTTCACATTCACTATGGATGTATTTATTCTATTTCGTATTATTTTGTTTGACTTTAGTTTTTTTTACATCTGGGAGAGATATGTTTATTTTTTATTATTTCTTTATATTAATAGAGATTTTCTTATTTATCTGTGCAAATATTATAGTCATGATACTGTTTATATTTACAGAGGGCGGTTTTATTTAATTATCTGAAATAAATAAATAAAAAAATAAATACTAACTCACCTAGGCGTAGTCGCGGTATACAACTAGTAAAATAGGTATTGTTTACAATCCCTATTACTAACAATGCCTTCCTTTTTAACTTTTCTACATTACTTTGATTTCTGGATGTTTTATTTATTATTTTTAATGGATGATAATGGAATGGTGACCCCGCCTGTGCTAACGGTATACACTGGTGTACCCAATAAATTCACGCCATATCCCACCCTTCAAACCGAAACACAGCCATGCAAACACAACTGCTTCACAGTAGAAACACAAATGGGACAGAGGTACTCAAGTAAACGGCTTTTATACAAAGTCTCCCTCTATTACTATTAAGTAGCAAAAGGTTTACCTATTTAGATATTTGATCTTCATCTCCTGGAGCAGAATCAGTATTGGATGATTCAGATGATTCAGGAATAAAATCTTCCCTGCTTGTATTATTTAATGCGTCAATGTGTCTATTTTCGGGTACAATTTCAACAGATTCACTAGAGATATCTTCTATGATAATTGGTGATCCCGTGTTCATTACTGCTGTATACGATGTGGTATTAGTGCCGTTTGTTGTAGCAGTGGCGACTGCTTCGGACCCACTTACTGTTTCCTTTGTGCTGTTATGATAAACAGTTGCAATAACAGTTCCTACCGCATCTGCTGCAGCTAGATCAAAAGATTTTGTATTGTTTACGCTTGAAGAATTGCCTTCATATTTTGCAATCTCGTCAGCTGACACTCTTTTGTATATATCCTCTTCAATGACTCTAGTAATGGTTATAGTAACATTGCCATCCGATGCAGCAGATATAGTGATGTTTTTGTCTGCATCGGTTCCATTTAATCCAGTTTTATGATACGAGAGCGCAGTCGCACTTTCAGCCGATTCATTTATGGTGTCGTTTATTGTTATTAATTTTCGCACCTCCACAATGTACTCTGCCGGGGAGGCCACCAAATTATCTGTTAAGTTACCGGTTTTATTTGAAAAAGGGGAAGTAGCATTAGATGTTTCGGCGGCATCGGGTATTGCCATAATTATAATATCATTTTCAGTAGTAACCGTTCTTGTCTCATTAAAGTTAAGGACTGCTGATTCGGTTTCTTCCACTTGTGTTACATTTTTCGTTTTGTTTTTATCCGAATCGGATTCAATGTCATCAAACGCAAAGGCGCGTGCGCTTGATATTGAACCGGAAACATTATCTTCTTCAATAGTAATATTCTTCAATTCAGTGAAAGTGAAACCGGATGTCCCATTTTCCATGATGTTTATTGTTCCGTTATAACCTGGTATAGTTTTATTATGAAACAATAAATCTGGCACTACATCCGTTCCACTTAAGATATCGTCCTCATGTGTAACTTTCTTAGTTTCGGTAAAACTTTCTGCTTCAGCTTCTGCCGTTGCATAACTTTTGGTTTCATTTCCAGTTTGTGTAGGTATAGTTTCGTGATAAGAATGCGCATCTGCACTGGATGACGATCCAGAATAAGAACTGTTTGAGACATCAATATTTCTAGTATCAGTAATATTTAGAGGATCATCTGGTGTCTCTGTTAGTTGGGAAAATTGTGCGGTTTCTGTATTCGTGTAATTTTGTGAACCGGTGTCGTTCTTCGGAATAGTTGTTTCATTTTCTTCAGGCGGAATGTTCTCTGAAGTTTTATTATGTTCATGTTTTGGGTTCTCAATACCTGGAATTGTGTTAATGTTAGTACTATTTAGAGCAGAATTTGAATTCGATGATAAATTGGGGGTGTTTATTGGAAAAGATACGGTAGATTCATTTGTATCGACAGGTTTATCAGATGACACTGTTTTGTTGTTAATATTTTCATTATCACCTGACACTGTTGTATTAGGTGAATCAATGTCTTTGTTTGATATTGTTTTATGTAAATCACTGTTCGGAATAATGTGGGTGGAATTTGATGAGTTTTGTAAGTGGTTATGTTTATTGATTTCCGATAAATTCAAAGAAGGAATAGTATTATTTGACGACTCCGAGTTGGTAGAGGTAAGTGGTGTGAATATTTTCTGATTAGGAGTTGACGGCTCGTCTAGATTTCCTAATTCACTGTTCTTTATTGTAGTTGTACCGTTAGGATTTTCTTTTTCATTGTTATAATGTTTTGAATCTGTATTATTTAATGTTTTATTATCTTTTAGATGACTTTCTAGTGTTTTATGGAGATGTGAATGATCAAAAATTTGTGAACTATTGTCTTGTTGGATCTGTTTACCTTGATTTATTAAATTTAATTCATCGGACAGATTAGGAGAATATTTACTTTCTGTTTCATCTGCAGTTTGATTTTTTGAAGAAGATATTTCGGGTAAAGATACTTCATACGAGTTTAATAAATTATTTTCTTCTGATGAATTACTTGATTTAGACTTACCACTTGAGACAGTGTTATTTAGCAGTTTTTCCGTGGAATTACTTGCTTTATGTGGTAAGTTTGATGGTTCCTCAATGTTAGATAAGCCTGTTTTCTTTTGTGGATCAGTCACATCCTTGGATTTAATAGTTGGAATTGTTTCATTTGTTGATTTATCATCAATTATTATATTTTTACCAATAGCACTAGTTGTCTGTTCTGATAATTCATCATTCATAATTAAATCACTTTTACTGGTTACATTAGCTAAACTACTGTTATTTGGCACATTTTGTGCAATATTTGTAATTGGTTCTGGTGATGTCTGTTCAACAGATATTTTGTTTTCCTTTATTTCTTTATCATTTATAGGTAGGCTACTTGTTGAAGAGTTACCTTCGTTCGATGATATTATTGACGTGTCATTTATCATTATATTCTCTTTTTCAACTACATGTTCTGGGAATGCAGTACTATTTTTTGGTGTTGTTTCATTCCAATTAGTTATTAAATCTGATTGAGTATTGTTCAATGAAATAGACCTGTTACTATCAAAAGTCGATTCTGATACATTATCATGATTAGTCAATAGATCATCAATTTTAACGGATGTTAACTCAGGTGAATGGTCGTCATTATCAGTACTCTTAGTTCCATTCAGTTTAGAGATTTCCATATCTAAGGATTCATTCGGCATGTCTTTATTTACCACATTGGTTGTGTTCTTCAATTTTTGTTTAGGTCTTCGGTTGACTATATTAATATGAAGAGGGAAATTATACGGTCTATGCATTGGAGTAATGGTTGTTGTTATTTTACGTTTCCTTTTTTTACCACTTCTAGTATCATTTTTTATTTCCCTACGTACTCGATTACTTGTTATATTAAATTTTTCATCAGTTACATTAGGATACGATGGTTCTTGTAATTCTAACATATATATACTTGTTCGTTCTGGAATCGATCTTATTTCTCTAGATATTTTTTGTCCATCACAAACTCGAGTTTGGCGGGGATTGTACTGAAAATAATAAATAATAATATAAATATTAAAATATAAAAATCTTACTTAATCTTAATGAAACTGCATTAAGTTAGAAGTCAGGACTGTTTAATTATTTTATTATCAAAAATATAATGAATTAAAAAACTTATTTCCAAATAAGTAAGTAGGTATTATATAATTTTACAGAGAATAATTGGCACGGACATTATTCTTTTTTAATGTATGCTTTATAAAAGAGAATGGGTGATAGTGGGTAGATGGTTGTTGGTAATGAGAATTAGTGGTCCCATTGCTAGCAATATACCATGACCGGTTGAGCGTGGTCAATTCCGGATGAATACGTTACGTTGATCCGTGATAACTCTCACCTATCTCGTCCTTAATTGGTACTTTTTCTATATTTTACAAGCTTTTATTTAGTTTCACCTGTCCCCTTGTCTGTCTGTAATCAAATCTTGCAAGTTAAATTTGATCCACTTTCCGGTTTCCGATTGAGCGAAAATTTTGCATGCATATATAAATCGGATGACAATACAATATTATTATGATATAGAGCTGATCTGATGATGGAGCTGGAAGGTGATCATAGGAACTCCCTAATTAAAAGATGCAACACCTTCAAGTTTGAGCTCGTTTGATTCGTCTTGATGAGTACTTTAGTATTAGATGGTAACCAGGGTCTGATAATGGAGCCGGAAGACGGCCATAGGAACTCCATAATTAAACGACGCAACCCCATCGAGTTTGGGCTCATTTGATTCGTCTTGAGGAGTATCTTGGTTGGCGTGAATATGCAACTCCAACAAATTTGGGAAAGAAAGTTCATTCCGATGGTGATGAATGTGGATTATGTCTGATTGACTGACGTCTAGAGGGATGAATGGTATGAGGGTGTATAAACATTTCATATTGCTAACGTTGCTCCTCAGGGTACCAGGGCGAACCCTTTTGTACTGAAGGCCTTATCCCTCTACAATGAACCTATGGCGGGATAAACCATTTTTGTCCTATACTCGTGGGAACAATATGAACAAAAAAAAACTACTACACAAAGAAAACGAAGTTAAGAGAAGGCGAAATTGAAGCGACAGGAGAAGTTTGCTAATGAAAGCGATGCCCACAAGCGGCAATGCTTAGAAAAATTAAGTTGAGCAGTAGCTAAACATAGAGAAAACGAATCGTTAGAACAACGCACAAATAAGCAAGATACCGAATACTAAAAAGTTAATAATAAAATTAAATTAATAAACCTTTTTTAAAAACAAGCTTTTATTATTTGTTAATAAAATTAACTAAAAAGTCCTCTCCGTCCAAAGGTTGCCTGGAAGAGATCGCTTTTAGCGATATGGTCGCCCATTGTTTTCTCATTGTGATCATTTCTTGTAATTGTTTATATTTATAATATATAATAGAACACTGATAAAAAACGAGTCAGCTAATTTGACAATTAACTGACAAATGGTTGATCCGTTTTTGAGACTCGATGCTCTATCTATATAATCTGAGATTATTACATAATAAATTTGTATGCTCTTTTATCTATAGTATATATATATATATATATATATATATATATATATATATATATATATATATATATATATATATATATATATATATAATATGGGTAAATTATTTTATTTACAATAAGTTTACTATTGTAATCTTTTGGAGGACACAATAAAGAGTATCAATATATCACCACCAGAGGGAGACTTTGTACAAAAGTCGATTGCTTGGGTACCTCTGTCCCATTCGTGTTTCAACCGTAAAGCAGTTGTGTTTGCATGGCTGTGTTTCGGTTTGAAGGGTGGGATATGGCATGAATTTACTGGGTACGGAGAAATAACACCCGAGTCCTCAGGAATGGCAACGCATGGGGGGTATCATGGGCGAAACTGTATACTCTGTTATGTCCATGATACTGCTCATGTCTATAGGTGACGGTTACTACTTTCCATCAGGTGGGCCGTCAGCTTGTTTGCCATTCTAAGTTGTATAAAAAAAAATAATAAAACAATATTCTTACCTCTAATAGAAATACACAACACCAAATTATGCCAAGTTGCCACCATCCCATATTTAATGTAATAAATTCTTTACTAAGTAAACAATGAGTCTTTTATACCTTTTCATGCGTTGATAGAATAACAAATTTGTTCGTCATACGGCTTGGTCGTTGTAAAATTTGTTTATGGCACGTACATACATATATGTGTTTTTATTTTAATGATAACACTATTATTGAATTGTCGTATTGCGAAATAATCGATATTGCCCAATATTGGCCTTATTTTAAAATTTTATAAACACATATGTCATCGTCATCGTCATTTCAGCCATTGTCCGTCCACTGCTGGACATAAGCCTCCCCCATAGACTGCCATAAAGAACGATCTTGAGCCTGCATACACTAACTTCCTGCAATGCATTTCATGTCGTCACTCCATCTAGTGGGGGGTCGTCCTATACTGCGTTTGCCCGTACGCGGTCGCCATACAAGAACCTTTCTTCCCGTCTTGTCGGTTCTTCGAGATATGTGACCAGTCCATTGCCATTTTAGCTTGTGTATCCTATAAACCAGAGGGAGACTTTGTACAAAAGTCGATTGCTTGGGTACCTCTGTTCCATTCGTGTTTCAACCGTGAAGCAGTTGTTTGCATGGCTGTGTTTTGGTTTGAAGGGTGGGATATGGCGTGAATTTACAGGGTACAGAGGAATAACATCTGAGTCCTCAGGAATGGCAACGCATGGGGGGTATCATGGGCGAAACAGTATACTTTTTAATGTCCATGGTACTGCTGAAGTCTATAGGCGACGGTTACAACTTTCCATCAGGTGGGCCGTCAGCTTGTTTGCCATTCTAAGTTGCATAAGAAATACATATTCTACCTCTTAATTTAAGGCGACACTTGCTTTTGTTTGTACCATCTACCGCCTGTATAACTGGCTGTTGATTGCTAGTAATGCGGACTATCAGTCCCATTGCTAGCAATATGCCCTATCAGGACGACCTCCACGTGGGTCCTCTTGGAAACCATCGTGCTGAATTCCAGGTGTATTCATCACGATGGGCTAACTGATCTGCCTTTTCATTCTCACCTATCACCCTTCACTGGTGCACCGTCAGTGTAAACCGTTAGCACAGACGGAGTTACCATATTATCTTTAATTAAAAAAAAAATTCATTATCATCCATTAAATACTAGACCATTCTATTTTTATTTCTTAAAAAAAAAACACAAAAATTCGTTTTCTAAATTGAGTCGACTGAAATCGAACCCACTATCACATTCACGCGAAGATATCTTATAGATAGAATACAATTCATTCCAGTAAGCATGAAATGGTATTCCAAAAACATCGCATCGAGTCGTTGACGGTGTAGCGAGCGCCCCGGGCGAATTCACTTGCTCACTTATTTTATGCTGTTGGAAATTCTTATAAAAATGTTACAATATCCTCTTAGATATTGCAATTTCAACGGAGAACTGGTAAAGGGAATTTAACATAGATATAGTTACAAACATTGGTCAAACATGTATCTAGATAGAGTGTCTAGTGAAAAAACGCTTAGTCAGAAACGGTCCATATAATTTATTTTAGAAAATAATCACAAGGAAGTTTTGAATTCTGTTGTGTTGTTTTTTTTTTATAATTGTTACCTCGTAACTCAGTCAGTTATGAACTAATTCGGAATTTTTTTTTATCAGAAACAATATGCTTATAGATAGGTCTCGTAGAAATTTTATCAAAATCGGTCCATTAGTTTTCTTTTTTTAATCAAAATACCTGGGTTTGTCACAATTGAAGGTAATTTTTTTATGAACACATAATGTTAATAATTTTCTGTCTTTATTTCTATTGATTGATTTACAAGACTCGTCAGTATGTGCGGTGTAGGGAACCTAAATAAATAACGAACAATAAAATAAATGGAATATGATAATGAGCTTATATTACGTATTTTTTTTATACAACTTAGAATGGCAAACAAGCTGACGGTCCACCTGATGGAAAGTGGTAATCGTCGCCTATAGACATGAGCAGTACCACGGACATAACAGAGTATACTGTTTCGCCCATGATACCCCCCATTCGTTGCCATTCCTGAGGACTCAGGTGTTATTCCTCTGTACCCAGTAAATTCACGCCATATCCCACCCTTCAAACCGAAACACAGCCATGCAAACACAACTGCTTCACGGTTGAAACACGAATGGGACAGAGGTACCCAAGCAATCGACTTTTGTACAAAGTCTCCCTCTGGTAAAAATTGGTCTTGGCGTATTAACGGCTTTATCACTTACTAGTTGTGTCCCACGGTTGCTTACATCAGTCAGTATTTAAAGTATGTGTTAAGTTACGATATAACCTAACTTTACCAAATTTCACCGGCTAAACAAGCCAATTAAGCAGAATTGAGT